GCCGGAGTTCAAGTAAGGGTATCTCGGTCGACTCACTGTTTGCAATTTTTCAATCGCTTTATTTTCCGATTTGCACTTTTCAGACCGCCTCTGCCATATTTCGCCATTTCATTGTCTTACCGGTTACGACTCAGGCGACCGTCTGTTCACCTCCTTTGGTTGGTATTCGAGAATGCCTCTGGGTATTGAAGTCACAAGGCATCTTTATGGGCACATCGAAGTTTGATGAGCCCCTTCTGGAATGGCGGAAAACTTTTACTAAAACCCTTTACTTTCAGATGCTTCCCTCGGAGACAACCTGGCTAGTGACTTGCTCATTTTAAACTAGACTTGTGTGTCTTCGCTTGCATGCACACACACACACACACATACCACACTTGCACACAGTATTATCACTTATTTTCTTTTGACTGTCTATCCTTATTTGCCTTTCCTTTATTATTTAATTTGTGTTTCAACATAACAAATTTGTTTCCACTCGTAGTCTGCATTGTGACACTCTATATCGCCTTGCCGCCATCCAGTTGCTCTGCCTTTTTAGCATATCTACTCCTGTACATAATGGTCCATCTCATCTTTTACGGCTTATTTTTACTCGCTTTTCTTTATACAACTATCCTACCTTATGAGTGGGCTCCGTGTCAGGCGGACATTTTCTATCCTCCTAACCCATCTTCCTCTCGACGTACGATTCGCAGTTTCTAATTCGCTTGAGTCAGGTCTCGACACTGTTATGTTTCAGTACTTGTGTCATCTGGCTTCATACCGCCTGCATCATGTCCAATATCCTAAACTGGGTGATCAGTCTTCCTTCCTTTTGACTCTGCATCCCTCATCACTTCTGTACAATTCAAAATTTTGTATGTGTATATGTAAAGCTCAAAATCTTCTGTTCCAACTTGTAACACTCACTCATTCCGTTTGTCTGTTTATCCAACGATTCGTATTTTCCTTTTAATATCGTCTCATTTTCTTTCACCGTTATCTGCATGCTCCTCCTCTTTGTTTGTATTAAGTGACTTTAAGATGAAAATATTCTTTCTCCCGCCCTGAGACTCCCATAAAAGATGTCTATCTTTAGCCTTGAGCTTTTTACTTGATGAATTGCGCCTATGTTTTTGAACATGCCTACAACGCATCTATTCCTTTGATGTCGCCATGCTTCGGCAAAAGACGAAAATCCTAGTTTCCTTAGTTGCTGCAGGTATAACTTTATCCAGAGATAAAAGTAGCATTAAGTCTGGGTTAAATTGGGGCAAAGTCTCAGCAGTGACGTTAGCAGGCGATGCGACTATTCGGGGAATTGTTTTATAATCCAGCCTCAACCCTACAGTGCGAGTATTTCCGCCTTTTATTATCGTTAAAAGGATATTTTTAAGGGGGTCCAGACAAGCCATTTTCTCACGATAAATAGAATAAGACGAAAATAAAGGAAAATAGGCGCGATTGGCAAATATTTATGTACATTATCGGTAATTTGAAGATAGAAACAAAATAGGTATTAAATTATTCGATTGTAACCAGAAATCAAGAGAGTAAATCACAGTAAAGGTAGCCGTCGTTCAGGGAAAGTGAAGCACTAGAGGTGTGTTTGCGTGGAGTGGGGGGAAGAGAAGCTAACGCAAGCGTTCGCGGAGGCTAGTTACTCGCTCATAGAGCTGGATATTCTGCTTGGAAACCACCTGCTGAATAGCAGCCAAATCGTTATCGCTACGCTCGGCAAAGGCCAAGTCGATCGCCTCGGAGTATTTTCTGCCAGGCAGGAGATAAAATCGGTCGGCGGATGACAGCGGAGTTGGAGGGAAGTGAAAGAAGGTGGAGGCGGGAGATAAAGAATGAGCGTCCAGATGCGAATCTCCCAAACGGGAGCAAAGCGGATTTAGCCGTTGGCTGAATCTAATAGAACAAGCGAGAAATGGTGATTGTGCTAACTCCCTTCAGGAGGATAAAGCGTAAAGCTAATCGATCTTCCCACTCGTGCGGTCCGGCGAGAGGTTATGCTGCTTGGTCTCTTCGAAAGAGTTGGTACAAGGCCAAAGTTATCCTTTGTCGTTGCTGGGCTCACTTACTCTTCAAATATAAATGTGTGGTGGAGAGATTCGCGAGTGGATTCCTTGTTGGCAGTCACTTGGATTTTCTCGAACTTTCTGGTTAGCGTCTTCCTCGAGGCTATGGTTTTGCTTAAATGAAAATGTGATCAAACAGTTGACATAATTCCCCGCAACTCGGTACCATTTTTACAACTTGTTCAAGCAAACGAGTCGAGAAAACCTATTCCTATCTCCTGTCTGCATAATCTGGGTCAACAAACTTCCGAGAGGTGTCGATTAGTACCTTTATGTGCAGGTAGGGTTCGTTTGTTTGACTTTATTGTAAGAATGATTTCCTACGCTGATGTTACCTGTCGAGTAACAGGAAAAAAGGAATCTCAGAATGTTTTCTCCGAAGCAGAAGAAGGATTCTTCTCGAAGACGACGCTAACCAGAAGACTCGAGTAAAGACGAACGACGATTGGCCAAGAGGAGTCCGCCGTCATCTTCGTCATCACACAATTTCATTTGAAAGAGGAGTGGTTGATTGAGTTCTCGTAAACATTTAAAGGATGCGCATAACTCTAAAGAGATGGTAGCTAGCTTAATTAATAATAATTGGGAGTAATAATATACTATATTTATAGTAATATAATTTATAGCAAAAAGCGAGAGTGAAGACAAAGATAGTGATTCTGGTCTCCTTTCGTGGAATACAAGTTGCAAGGCCCATTTTCAGGGAGGACTAGACAAACACCTTTTGTGGAGTCCGACGCTGGAAATTATTATGAATACTGATGACTCTGTATGGGGTGTGCTTATCTGGGTGTCACTGAAGATACGAACAAGTGGCCAAAACGAGTTCAATCCACTTCTATGCTAATATAATTGAGAAAAGCATTGTAAAAAGAGATGATATGCTAAGCCAGTCGAGTTGTAGTGCTGACTAATGTGTAGGGAAGCCGTTGGGGCCGGTGGCATGCTAAAGTAGCAAACAAGTATAATAACAAGGCAGCAGTGTTTTGCGCATAAATCCTACCACAATGAGAGCCAAGTTGCCAAAACGAGGTCAACAGTTGGGAAAAAGGGTATTCAATGACTATCCTCATCATCGCAATGAGGCTTTAGGCTGCTACAAAGTTGTGAACATGGAGTCTTTCATGGCGGCTATTTACTTAAACCTTGGCTTTCTGACAGAAAAAGCTTCTGAGTGAAGGGAGCTTGCAATAAAATCGTCTCCTCCATACAAACTTCAAGGAAAGCAAGGTCTGAGCTTGAGATGAAGGCGAAACTGCAAGACTTATTTCACAAACTAATACCATGGAAAGTAAAGCTTTAAAGAACACTGTAAAAGTGCCGTCACGCGGCAGTTGTGTGATCAGGTTGTCTTAATGTAGCAAATCATAAACGCCACCCAAAGCATGGCCAAGTTAACAAGCAGATTGCCTTAACGAGTCAGTATTAGCGGATCGGCTGATGACCAAAGACCAAAGTATGAGCCAAAGGTTGCATGGAAAAATGGTGCTGGATCCGAGCTTGTGTGGCTGAACAGCAGTCCTGAAGACGTAAGAAATAAGTTATGCCAATCAAAGACGGGAGAATCCAATAGGATAATCTTCAAGAAGCGTGTGGTAATATAAATTTGATCACAAATGAGAAGAAAGAAGCATTCTTGGCATCATTTAAAAGAGGTCTGGTCTATCAAGATAAATACCGTATTTCCCCATGTATAAGCCACCCGCCAATTTTTCAACTGTGAAGTTTTGAAAAAATATTTTATTAGTGAAACAAGTTACAAAGAAAGAAAAGTTACAAACAAAAAAAATTCAAGACTCATAATAATCGCTCATACACTCAGCATCACTGTCTGGTGCATCAGGTATAGTGACAACCCCCTCACATTCCTCGTCTTCTTCAATATCACTGGCATCGAATTTAGCCAACAGTTCTTCCTCGTCTGTATCATCTTCATCGCCATCTTTATATATCAAGTGATCTTCTCAACCATCAAGAGAATTAAAGATTCCACATTTTTTAAAGGCTTTGACACTGATCTCGATCTTCACACGGTCCCAAGCATTCTTTACCCACCAAAATCATCTTGGTTGTAATAACTGCACCAAGTTGTCGTTGCTCAACCATCCATGTCTTCAATTCCTTC